AAAGTTAATTTCTAGCTTGCCTTTTTTCTGTGATATGGATTTTGTGCGTAATGATCAGTATATGCAAATTTGTGAGATAAATCTAACCCCTATAACGATATATAAATATATATGGGGACCTGACTTGCTATGCAAATCTACAATTGCCCTGCAGACACGTATGTATGTATTTGGGTGATAACTGACTCTAATGACCTTAACAGTCGTATATATCGTTGATGCAGCTGTGTTTGGGAGATCGGTGAGATCTGTTTCGTGATTTCTCTTGCCTTGTTCACACTAATCACCTCCCTGATATCTCGAATGAACTGTTAAAATTTTTTTTCATAACTTTGGTGTAGATACTAACTTGGCGACAAAGCGACGAGATGCGAGTGGAAGTCGAGACAAATTTTGAAAACTATTATTCCGGCAGCGTGTGCAGTTGCCAAAACGCATCATTTTCCGTAGCTTCACGGCGATATGAGTGGTATTTTGATAACGAATACAAAAGAAACAACAAAATAATTATTTAAAACAGGTCTTTGTTTTTAATACGAGCTCTCTTCTTTTAAGTAGAAAATGAAACTCTATATGTGATAATTGGACACGAAACGATCATATGGATTGTTCTCTTATTATGTTGTTGTTGATCATGTATTCATGTTGTTAGTATTCTTCCTCTGCTTGTTGCGACCGTATAGAAAAATTGATTTTCTACTGGACTCCTGGACCGATCGCTTTGAAATTTTCAATGATTGAACATTGCATTTTTCGCTGGAGGCTTTTTCATTTTATGTATTTCAAAAATGTCGGTGGCCTCTGGAATTTGTTTTTTTTTTGTGTGAGGTGACGTCATCATATTAAAAAAATTGCGCCCCTTGTGGTGGTTCCGGCTTCGCGTTAGCGATCTATCTCGTGGTCCTGTGAAGTCGTGATTACTGCGGTATGGTACCGGTAGACTACTGTTACAGACTGTATAGGGAGACGAGATGCGGTCTTAGGGATAAAGACTGTTCACCCTAATATTCAAAGTTCGATTCCCACGTTATTAATTTCACGTGTTATGGAATGTGACTCCAATCTGGATTCCCTCAGACGATAATAAGCACACGATGATGATTGTCGAATTGTTATATATTATTGAGAAGATGCACGATCCAAATTTTAAATACAGATAAAGTTGTACACACTTAATTCCTAATGCAGTAAGATTACGGTCAGATCACAAGTCATATATCGAGTGAAACAAAAAACACAATATTATAGAGCATTCTCGGCAAACCGGAAACGATACGTTATCAAATTGGTCGAAACGAGAAAGGCAATACATGGAGCGAATGCATTATCGCTGTTGCGAAACATAATGCGGCCTATTTTGTGAAATATTACATGCTATTAATATGAAAGGGTTAAATACATTATAATCCATAGTTACACAATGCACATTCGCTACACAATTCCCCCTCGACAGTAAAAAAAATTAACTTGGTAATTTTTTAAATTTTGTAGTCCGGTCGCCGAGAGATGAAAGTCTAAAAACAAAAACACGAATCAATAAAAGGTACGATATGATGAATAATGGCTAAGGTATACGAGAGAATATACGTCGTTTACGAGGGCAAGAAAATACGAGAGAGAAAAAAATCAAAATACAAGAAAAAAAATTCAAAGGGTCTCCGTGGTGCTTTGAAATGTTTAACATTTGAAAATAAAACTGTAACGATACATTGAAACAAAATGGCGACGATGTACCGGAAGGGACACCCTAAAATGTAAAACGGTTCTGATGTTTAATGCAGAGACTGAGAATGGAAAAAAATGGCGGGTTTCGTTCTAAAAATTGCATTGAAATTGATTAGATGTTTAAGGTCGTAAAATTGATGTTAGAGGTAACTTGGACAAAATAATATGGAAGAAAAATCCTGAAAAGTGAATAATGAGTGATTTGAAGAATTATTGAACCATTGAATCCTTGAGATTGAACCTGAATCAAATTCTGTATGAAGTAAAAGAACTCATGATATCTAAAAACAACAATTGATTAGTAACAAGTAAATACACACAAAAGAAATGAGAATACGCAAAATTTTTATTTTGATGGTTTTGTAATACTTATATTTTTATAGTAAGGTGTTTTTTTATGTTTATGATGGATAATAATAAGAGAAAAGATAATAAAATACAAGACGATTAAATTGATAAAATGAAAATAAGTAATAACGAAGCGATACATTGCGAGTTACACACCACATACCATTCGCAACGTGCGTCGAAATCGAGTTTCCTTAATAGGGTGTGGGGAAATCGAAAGGTTTGTTACGGTCAAACTTTTGATTCCATTTGAGCTTGGGTGCTCGCATCTGAGAAGTTGCTAGCACTTTCTATATCTTCCGCGTCAATTTCGACATCGGATATCTGGTGTATTTCTTCTTGTTCGTCGAATTGTACTACGGGTTGTCGTTAAATATTGAGAAGTCGTTGTATCGACTGGAACAATCCATTTGTTAATGCATTGCGAATTGTAACTCGGCAGTTTGGCAAACTTTGAAAAATGAAATATCCTATGTACAGGAAAGAGAGAATGGGTATAACAAATAATGCGTAAATAAGGCAAAATCCTATGACGTAATTCCATGCTGGGCTCTTAACTCGCAAGATCCAGGCAAATATGTTGCCGTTGACGGCTTTTTGAATTCCGTCTTCAAGTGTAGTGATATCAATAGTTTCTGCAGAGGTTCGTCCTCCTTTGTAATCGTCATGCAGTTTGTTGAGTTCCGAAATTGTAACTAAAAGGTCGTTCATGCTTGTAGCGGAAATTTCCTCTTCATTTGCTAAAATTTCTTCGCGAAATGAGCTGTAATCTTGTGTAGATGGGTCGTCAAAGGTTGTATACAGTGAGGGGTATACTTCTTTGACATTTTCGTTCCTGGATACTAGTGAATAGTTGAAATACTTGTAGCTGCCATTGATTTTGAAAATTTTCGTTTGTCCAAATCGTGGTGATTCAGTCAGTACTATTTGATTGAAAACAACGTTACTGGCGTGGATTTGTCCAAGTTCTGTAGATCTGTTAGGCAAGGTATATGCAACAATCGGACGTGTTGCATACAAGTTGTTGAAGAAAAGTGTTGGTAAAACTGTAAAATTAGCGGAAACACAATGAAGCTCGACAAGAACATCTCCATGAGCAATTGCATGAACTTCACGTCTTAAAATTGCAGATAATATTTGAGAGGGGTACAACTGTGCTAGAGGTTTCAATAAATGGGAGATCATTGATTCGACACGACATTCCAATTCGTGTATTCTGTCGTAGAGTTCGGCGAATAATTCAGAGTCGTGATCGGACGACTGTTGTACAATCGAAACGACTTTTGAAAACCAGGTACTGGTGACGTCATGCCATGAAGAGGCAACGCCTTTATGACGTAATCTGACAATGTCTTCGCAGTTGTTATTTACGTTTAAAACCAAGCCATTGTATGTACAATAGACTTTGTTTGATTCAAAGCAAGATTTCGTTCATTGAGAGCAAGTTTCGAAACTGTGAAAGCTTGTCCAACTCTCGGTAGTTCCAATCGATAAAGATTGCCCGATGAATTGAAATGTAACAAGAGTGTGGTAGCGTTGAATTTCGGAGAATTGCCGGCCGTGCAAACTTTCGTATCATCAACGTTCCAGACAAATGTAAACGCACCTTTCCGGCAAAACCAGGAATTGGGTGAGCATTGGCTTAAATCAGCTAGGGGAGAGTGAAGTTTTCGTGTCATGTGATTGAAGGCTAAAGTTGAAGTTAAGATCGCGATGTTGTTGATTTGGCCAGACTTTTCAGTGGGCCATGAGTATTGGTATTCGAACGAGTTTTTCGTTGCGCGCAAGTGCGGATTAATTGTGTGAAGATCTCCATAGTCGCCAGCCGTGGCTGAGTGTGTCCAAAGTATGCAATCGGCGTATGAGGGTGCGACGCCGTCGATAGTTTTGTGTGATTTTGTTTTAACGAAGAACAACCATGAAATGGTTCGCCAGTAAGTCGTTGTACGCTTACAAACCTTGGAATCAACGTTTGTAAGAAGGGTAGATGTCTCGTAGATGTTTGCTGAACAATTCTTTATTGTATGAAGTTTGTGTCAGTTGCAAAGGGCTGGATTGCTTATGTCGTAAGTCTGTCCATGTAACCATATTTACACAATGCACGTTCGCTACAACTGCATACCCGTACTATCTCGTGTCCATATATTCGAGCATCGCTCTCTTGTTATAACTTTTTTGCTTCGCTACACTTTGGGGTTCGACAATTAGTGAGTTCTACTGCCATTGCGTTGAGGGGTCTGGTATAGTTTAGTACCACATGCACTTCTAGTTGGCCTGGCTCAACAATTTTTGCATATGCCAATCCTAACCCCCACGTCATTTTGACGTCACATTGGCGTAATAAGGCCCACCAAAGTATGCGGATGGTCGTCCAAAACGCGCAGATGATCACCCGAAATCGAGTAAGCTATTTCTTTCGTTTTCCCGCCATAACGATCACGATAGGAGAGAGATCGCCGGCGTAAGCGAGTTCGTTATCGGCGGCGCAGATGCCATTTCGGGCGATCGTAATTGTACTTTGGCAAGCCCTATGACGTGTTTGTGACGTCGTATCGACGTAATTTTTGGATGGCATAGTCAGGTGAGGGTTAGGAATAACATATGCAAAATTCGTTTTGATACGCCAACTGGAAGTACTTGTGGTACTAAACTATACTAGACCCGCGTTGAGAAATATATATAAACTAAAGACAGGAATCAATTCATATTAGCAATTGGAGTGACATATTTATATCGACGACTCAATTTGGCCAAATTCGAACCAAACCACCTTTTCTTCGGACAAAACAGTACCAGTGACGACAACGGGTATCGATTTTGCATACGTTATCGTTGGATTTGTTTTACGCCTAAAACAAGAAATCCACTTTCAGCAAATATGTGCACAATTTGTGATGTTTACAACAACGTCGATGTCTTCAACATGATTCCGTTCTTGTTAATAATATGTATTTAAAAGCTCAAATCATATTTACAGCTAGTCAAACGATACTTTCACGATAGGAAATTTACATAGAATTAATTGGAAAATTCAGATTTGACAGACGATGTAGCAAGTGCCATCAATTGCACCCTTCGACGACTTTCATTTGCCAACCAAAACCCATCTGCTTGAATATTCCAGTCATTTTTCTTGCAAATCGCGATATGATATGATCTTTTGTGGCACATTTGGCCGCGGACGTCTTCACTGCCTTTCGATTTTTTGTTTTTGTGGTCGTGCTGCGTTGTATAGTATTTGCGGTAGTTGTTTTATCTGGGCTTTTTTCTTCAGGTGTTTTGGAAGTTTCCTCTTGGCTAGCAATGGGTGGTTTCCGTGTTTCTTTGTTATCGCTTGATCCTATGGCTGTTGCTGTTGTTTGAACGCCATGTATTATTGCCTTGGTATTTTCAGACTCAGTCATATTTGCCGATGAAGGATATTCGTTTTTTGGCTCACATCCTTCTTCTACTTCGGTCTTCATCCACTGCGATAATTTTTCATCGTCGATAGAAAGTGTATAGTTTTGAGGAATTTCAACAAATCCGGCTGGAAAGAAATACAGAAGAATAAGTTTTGCCATGTTATTGCATGCTTCCTACTTTTCAGTCCGTTGTATATATATATATATTCTTAAGTGAGATGATATCAGTTGTTGTGTTATTGTTTGTACTCACCTCCTCTGATGACGCATCTGCAGTCGTGAACGCAGCAATGCATATTAGCGGGATGTTTATCGCAGTCTTCAAATTTAACCAATTTTTCGTTGCACAAGTTGTAGCATGGTACTAAATCACCTTTGAAACCTTTTTCTGTAACAACAAACCAGTGTTAGAAATGTTTTTTATGAAACACAAATTCACATGTGTTTTTCGTTTAATTAGGATTGCCAGATATGCGGAATAAAAACCGGGACATTGGGCGGTTCAATTCCGAGACTTAATTTTGGTTCGTATGAATATTAATTATATAACAATCATTGGAAAACAAGAACTTTCTTCAAACGGCAATAAAGCCGATGTTATTATGTTAATTTGACGTAAATATTGGAAATATACTAATTATGACATAACATTACGTTGATAAAAGTGATAAATGGGCTGCCCACGTCAAAAAATAAAATAAAAACAACTTTGTATTTAATATCGGATATACTTATGACTGCCATTCTGTCGTAACCCTGGACATTAAGTCTACCGAGCGGAACGGTCCCGATTTTGTCGAACTGTCCCGGCTAAACCGGGACGTATGGTCAGGTTATACGTATTATCCTAGTTCTACAAGTACCTGGGCCATGGTAAATGTACTTTTTGGAAAATGGAAATAAAAAACTTATTCATTATATATAGGATTACCTGTTGGAATCAAAAAACCTTACTTGGTTCACATTGCTGCTGTCCCAATTTGTAGCGAAACTGAAAACATTTAAGTTGAGTAAATTGAGCTGCTTCAATTCCAAACATAATTGACGCCAGAAGTAGATAGATTGTTGCCACGTTCATCTTTAATCTATTGGGCTGTAATTAGCACTTGTTTAAAGACCAATCGTTTAAAAATCGATATATATTGCAAATAGTTAAATAGTAGCCTAATTTGACAAGTGGTAATTGGGCAGTCATATACCAGGACAGCCAGTTTTTTGGATTAAAAAGCTGTCGTCAATTTGACGTCTGCTGTCATGAAGCAAAGGAATGCACTGGATAAATATCCAGTGATTATAAGACTATAATATCGATAATTGCTTCGATATAAGATGTTGTTCATTTAAAAGTATTTGAAACTTAGTTGTAAATTGTGATGAAAAATTAATTGCGTGAAAACGTATAGATACAATATTAAACATAGGCCCGAATGGCTACATATTAAAACATACCCAATTAACAATCCTTTTTTGCCTCTGCTTTCTTTATTTTCTCCGGTGTTTTTTTGCGAGATTCTTGATGCCGAAATTTTAGCAGCGCTATTTATAATATATCATGCTCACTCAAATATTTCAAAAAAAAAAAAGATTTTAGAATATCTTTATTAAGCATTTAATCTTTCGTTGCTTACAGTGGAAGACAAATGGTTATATTTAGCGTCACTTTGAGGTCAGTTTCGTCAAATGGATTAAGGTTTGCTGAATTAATTATTCTCATAAAGGTCGCTACGAATAACGCATGTTATAAGCTTAAAACACCACAAATTGTAGAATAGTTCATAAACTAAACTAAAGAGCCATAAAAAAAGGTCACAACACTGACGTAACCTTCACGGTATTATACTAGTCGACGACTTCTCAAACTGCATCTTTAGAAATTCAGATATTTAAAGTAATATTGTATTAGTAGTAGTGCCTACTGCAAGATCTTTTCGCGGGGAAATATCTAGGTCAGGATATTTTACTCAAGGGAATTACTACAATATTTCAAATTATTTCCAAAAGTGTTGGATAATATTGGCGAACTGAAGGCGAAAAGCAAACGTTTCTGTGAGCAAATTGCTCCAGAGGCTTCTTCGAACATACGTAAAATGTATATTGGAGTATCTCCAATGGCCATACTACCGTATAATATCGTTTATATTGAGAAACCAGGTTGAGACCTTTGTGATGGTCGACCTGAGAAAGTACAAATATTCAAAATTCGATGTAATGAAACAAAACAATTGTCTTATTTCTGGAAGAATATACACGTCTTAGAAATACCCAGTAGCCACAATCAAACGGGTATGACGTCAGTGTGGTAATGCGGTGTTACTCAAAACGCTGATAACCATATTGTACTCAAATGGTGAGTTTTAAAACCTCAATTGCTGTTTGTAAATTTCCATGAATTTATAGAATTTCCGTCATTAAGTGCGACATATGAGCTTATGAAGGAGTGCATTTTTATTCTCCCAAAAATAGATTTTTAAATGTCGGAATCCAATGGAATAAGCGTCAGTAGTCTATATGTTTTGACTTATAATTCGTTTATATGCAAATTATAATATGAAGACCTACTAATCCAATAGCTTTGACAAGTGTTTACCTGTTCGTGGTGGATTTTCATCTGTTGACAAAATAAACCAACGTGGAATATTTATTTTGGCGACATTGCGTCCAATATACTATCTGTTACTAATATACATTGCAACTATTTTGGTAATGTAGCCATTTCTTCTACAATAGCAGCATTTATGTAACCAACGTGTCAATTGAAGAACAAATATTATTATACTATACTATGAAGGATTGCCTGTATATTACTGGTTAAACCCTTCCATTCCTCCCGTATTTAAACCTGGTCTTATTTGTTCAGGGTTAGTACAAATACCTAGCGTATTTTAGGAAATTTTCTAATTTTGCCCAATAATTAATTTGAAACTTGTTATCTAGAGTTTTTACGCTCCGAATAATAATTGTTGATGTTTTATGTCATTTAAGATATTCATTATATCTTCAACCTCTTTGACATTGTCGGAGAACAACTATTTCACTAAGTTCTTGTGACCTTGTTTTGAAAAAGAAAATAATTTTGAAGTTGCTATTGAAATTTACTACTTTATATAGCATATGGCACTGCATAATTGACTGTTTTGAGAGTGCAGGTTTTACCCTAAAATGGAAGTTACGTTACATTTAGGAGCTAATCGGTAACTCATTTTCTATTGCTGATATATATATACGGAAAATAATAACAATGAAGACGACACGAATACGGTTGTACGATACACATACGTTGCTTCACAAAAGTTCTTGGATTTATTTTGTATAATACAATGTAAACCATACTTTAATTAGAATTATGAGAATCTTTATTTCTAAATAAATGCTGACATGGAAATCAGATCAGCGGGACGGACGCATTGTGGTTTGTAGGATTTTAGATAGGATCCGATCCTTCCAAACAATGACACTTCCTGGATCAGTTGCTTTTGCAGAGTTTGTTTGGGTTGACAGGCGTGAGAAAAATACGGTATAATATATATATTATATATATAACGTTTCTGTAAGTTATATTTTATTCGCAATGTAATGATCATGAAATGGGTTTTGTTGTGACAGTTTATTGGACACGAAATGGATCGATCTATGAACGTTTTGTTATTATGCTGCTGTTGGTACTTTTTTTTCGGTTGTTATTGCGAAGAAAATCGCTTTTCTCGTCATATATTTTTGTTAGAAATACAAAATGACTTTATATTTTTGTGATGAATCCGCTCAAAATGATGACCAACAATATATTTCAGAATTGCAATGATGTATGAGATTAGGGTTATGAAGTAGTCTACGTCTCGTGTCTCATTATGACGTTTCGCCCAGCAAACGGGAGAAATGCCAGACGCGGTACAAATTCGGCACGCACTTGTAAGTAATTATGTTATGCAGTACAAATGACACAATTTATTCTAGTCGGAGCCCCACTTGTATATATTGTGTCATGGACAGTTTATCCAAAAGAATCCGATAACAGGGTTCGGTTTCCGTCCTTTCGACGCCATGCGACAATTTTTGTATTTCGGGTGTCCAATTTAATAATCAGAGCGAGCGTTGACTCACTTCGTAATCTCTCTCGTCCGATGATACTTGAATTTTCTCGCAATCGAGCCGTAAAAGCTGTAGACATCAGACGCGGTTATCTCAGCACTCATATCTATCTCAAGGCGAAGACTCCCGATTGCAACCTTTTCTGCCTTTTTCAAACTTTACTATGATTTTCCGATTACCTGACTGGAACAATCGTTTAATTTTTTACAGAAGTGCCATGAGTTCTACGAGAGTGCAATTAATAAATCATTCCTATAATACAATTAAGAAAATAGAAGTCCCAATCCAACTCCAAGTTTACTTTGACTGGTTCGAACTGTATTTATTAATAACAAGCTTTATTCGAACGACCACGTCAACCAATTAAATCTGAAATTGTCAAGGACGGTGTAAACCTCTTGTACAAGTGGTACAAGTGGGACACGTGAAACACGTGGGACAAGTTGGACAGGTGGGGCAAGTGGGACACGACATTTTGGAGACACAGCAATTCAACTGCGATTTCCTAAAATATCCCACATTAGGAGTAGAAATATTTTTATTGTACGTTAAAATACATCAAATTTACTTATTTTTAGAACATAGAAAATAATGCGATATTATATTAGTTCAAAAGATATAAAGCAAACAATGTCGATAATTAGCGAAAAACGTGAAAAGGGTACAGGTGGTACAAGTGGGACACGTGGTACAGATGGGACAAGTGGTACAACTGGAACAAGAGGTACACGTGGTACAACTGGGACAAGACATTTTGGAGACACCGCTTCAGGAGTACCAAAAATCCTCCCTAAAAAGTAATGCAAAATTTTATTTTTTATTTTAAATTTTATTTTATTTCCCCCTCAATATGGAATTGTGGCTTAGGACTGTGCTTGTGAGAGCAGACTCATGCCATACCCCCGCCTGTTTTACAAAATAGAGCTCTTAGAGTTATTGACTAATACTCATTTACGATTTAGTATAAGTCACATTTATAAACGTATGAATCTTTTAAAATTAAACGACGTGTATATTTATAAAGCGAAATTGATTTTTGAATTCATACATAACATGTTGCTCGAGGCTTTCGAGACACTTTACTGATTGTGGCTATATGTGTCCATTCGTACAATACACTTTCAGCAGCTAGTGGTGTATTCTTCATTTCACGAACAGATCTCAAATTTGCTCGAAAGTCTTTAAAAATTATGCGACGTAGATTGGAATGATATTCTTGGAAATTTCAAAATATATTCATATAAAAAATACAAATTTTAATCCACGAAATATATTACATCTAAACTACTTTTAAACAAAACAAGGTAATACAATTTGGATATATATAATAGATATATAGCCTATTGTTCGATTGTCGAAATTTAATTTCTATTTTGCCTTTTTTCTGTCATATGAATTTTGTGATTGATGATTAGTATTTGCAAATTTGTGAGATTAATATAATTTTCTTGGTTACCTCAACTGACTGTGCTAGTAGTCGTTTTTATTATGTGGAAACACGCGACTGCTGGATATACCAGGTCGTCTAGACCAGTGGTTCTCAACCGCTGGACAACCTTGCTGCCGGTCCGCCAAATATTTTCCAATATTAATATATTATAAGCAAATTGCAAAATTGACGGCATGTCCGTTAGTTTTTTTTTTTTTTTCTAATTCTCATCGATTCGTAGTACCGTTATTCATCTAACTCAGTGCTCTTCAACCTTTTTGTTGTTGTGGAACCCCTGATATAATTTTTCGTTTTTTATGGAACCCCAATTAACAAAATTAAAAAAAACACGAAATATTTGTAATTCAAATATTTCTACTTCAACAACGAAACAGAAAGAAGGTTCCAAGCGTGAAATTCAATGACTAGGTTGTTCTTGCATTTCCTTTGCAATCTTCTTGAATCGTGGCTCCACGGCTCTCAATGCAATTCTCATACCCATGACTACAACTTCTTTTTGGTTTTTAATAATTGAGCAGAAAATGCTGATTCACACCAATAGGTAGATATTTGTTCAAATAAGTTGATATGAAGTCAATAACAAATCTTGATCAGTATTCACTGCTCTTAAGAAAGAATCTTTTTGCTGGCATGCGGCGCTTTTCATATGTTTAAAGTATGATATAGTCTTTGTCATGTACGAGGATGACTGCCTTCTGGAAGTGTCTTTGTAATTTAGCTGAAGCTAGTGCAGAATTAGAAAGTCTCTTACAGCAAATCAGACATTCGGGCTCTGGAGCTGCATTTAGAATCTGATCATCGGGCAAAAAGAAGCCGTATTTCAAATATGTTTCATCCCATTTTCTAACTTTGGCAATTGAATTACATTTGGTTCGCTTCGAAGGAGGAGCAGGTGCCTCTTTTGCATTTTAACAACTTTGCTCATTGCCGTCCTGACCTTCACCGTTGTTATTATTTCGCCTCACATAAAAAATATACTATTTTGCTTCATCTGTATTGACTGAATATTAAGAAGTTGGGTTTCACAC